CAAAAGAAGCTTAACGTGGGCCTCTACTAGCTGCCCATTCTTGCTAGTTGGGTGGCTTGAAGCCTTCAGCACTTACTGGTTCTGTGTCTCCTGGAGACAGTGGGCAGAGCGTGGATCTGGGTCATCTAGAGGCAGTCTATGAGGGCAGAGACTGCAAGGCATCTTAACTCCTATGCTGTGAAGACCAGTTGGTGTCCTGTGTGCAGGGTGCTGTCTGGTCCATAGAGAGCTCTCTGTATAGGTCTCAGTGCTCATCATTCTCACGCTGGGTCTTAGCTTCTTCCAAGCTCTGGGCAGTCTGGACACCAATGTGCAGAAAGAAAACTCAAGATTTAGAGTCAAGATTTAGCAATGCCTGTAAGCAAGGCTTATGCATAACAAGCACTGTAAGTATATGCATATACTGTAAGTATATGCAAAGCACTGTGACCTCATCTTCATGATGGATAGCAACCTAGTAGGTGGTGTTTTACTGATAGCATTTCACAAATTAAGAAATGGCAGCTCGGATTTGTTAGGAAATGGAAAGATTTGGAAAAAATTACATTGTGAAGTAAGCCAGGCCCAAAGAAACATAGGTCCCATCATTTTCCTTATTTGCAATAACTAGTATATGTCTAGGACAAACAGAAAAGGTCAAAAGCTATGTACCTATGACCATATAAGATGATGTTAAGCAAAATGAACCCCAAGATAGGGACACAAGTGGTGTTTTTTTCTTGCTGTTGTTTTTAACATATTTATAATGTACTATGTGATTTTTTTGGTTTCTTTTGTATGTTCTTCCCCCATGGTTTAACCCCTGTTGTCACTGTATTTGATTCCAGGGCCCTGCATCTTGTATATACATCTTTATAATTTGGGGAGGGGAAAGGAAATAACAAAATGCTTAAATAAGGATACAGGTTGACCCATTGTAACAATGTGATGTACAAGACATTATATGAAAACAAACTCTACAACTTGGGGATGGGGGAGGGAGGAGTTGGGGAAGTAGGGAGGGAAGGGATGGTAAGGGAAAAACAAAGGAGGAGGTAACAATGCTCAATAGGAAATGTACTAATTACCTTACTCATGTAACTGTAACCCCTCTGTACAGTATATTTTTACAATAAAAATTTTTTAAAAATAAAAAAGTTAAAAAAAAAGAAATGGAGGCTCAGATACTTCCTGACACCAAAACCAGTGCCCATGCCCCACTGACATCTCCCTAGACCTTGCTGCTTGTGCGGGGAAAGACCCTGAGCAACTCAGACAGACGCTCACGAGGCCCAAAGCCATCTTTTTGTTTCCTCTTTTAAAGTATTTTTACACAACATTTTTTTAAATAGTCAAATATTTGCTGCCACCTAGTGGTGATCATCAGAAATAGTTTCTTTTTTTAAACTATCCAGCTTGGGGGCAGGTGGAGGGGTGGGTGTTAAATGGTAGCATACTTGCCTGCATTTGTAAGGTCTTGCCTGCGTCCAATCCACAGGACTACTACCCATTTTATTCTGGAAAAAGAAAAAATATGGAAACCGAAGCTGAGTGTTTGCTGAGATGTAGGAGGAGGCAGGATGAATAGGCATGGCACAGAGGATTTTTAGGGAGGTGAAAGTATTGTGTACGATACTGTAATACTGGATGCACATCATCAGCCTGCCCACACATAGAGTGAATACTCAGAGTATCTAAACCAATAATGAATGCTAATGTAAACTGTAGGCCCTGGGAATAATAAGGTATCAATGTTCACTTCTCAGTTACAGAGAGTATGATAGAGGTTAGTGATTGGGAATCTGGTCTTTCTGCTGGACGGCACTGTGGATCTAAAACTATTCTAAAAAAAAGTGTATTCCTTGGGGGGAAAACCCACAATTTATCTTCAGTACATATTGTGCGTTTATCCTGCACAATCTGGGTTTGAACCCCAATTCTTAGATCTCAGCATCTTGAGAAGCTAGAATTACTGGTGTGAGCCACAAGCACCCAGCTAAAATTTATTTAAAAAATTATTGTAAAGGTGATGTGCAGAAGGGTACAGTTAATAAGTCAGGTCATGAGTACATTTCTTTCTTTCTTTCTTTCTTTCTTTCTTTCTTTCTTTCTTTCTTTCTTTCTTTCTTTCTTTCTTTCTTTCTTTCTTTCTTTCTTTTGTTCTTTCTTTCTTCCTTTCTTTCCTTTCTTTCTTTCTCCTTCCTTCCTTCCTTCCTTCCTTCCTTCCTTCCTTCCTTCCTTCCTTCCTTCCTTCCTTCCTTTCTTTCTTTCTTTTTTGTCGGTTGGGGGGCTTGAATTCTGGGTCTAAGCGCTGTCCCTCAGCTCTTCAGCTCAAGGCTAGCACTCTACCACTTGAGCTACAGCGCCACTTCTGGTTTTCTGGTGGTTTATTGGAGATGAGAGTTTCATGGACTTTCCTGCCTGGGCTGGCTTTGAACCACAATCCTCAGATCTCAGCCTCCTGAGTAGCTAGGATTACAGGTGTGAGCCACCAGTGCCCGGCTTACATTTCTTTTTGAACAGTGTCACCCCCTCCCTCTTTTTCGCCCAAATTTCCCTCCTAACTTGTTTAGTTCATTTCCAACATATTGTCTAGTGAGTATCACTGCTGAATTATATGTTAGAACAGATATTATGTCCTTCCATTTTTATCCTTCTAGTGAACTAGATGTATGATTCTTGATAGTTTGATGAGATGTTGAGCCACACATAAGCCTTATTTTGTACCAAGGTTTAGTGTTTTGTGAATAGTGTATAATCGGTTTGTAATGGGCTGTACTTTAAAAAAAATTCTGTAATATTCAGAGCTTAAACTTATAAGTACTTATTTACTCATGTGTATGTGTGTGTATGTATGTGTGTGTTGTGTGCATGTGTGTATATGCTGGTCCTGAAGCATAGGTATCAGAGCCTAGGTGTTGTCTATGAATATTTATTTTGCTCAAGGATAGCAATCTCCCACTTGAGCCACAGCTCCACTTCAAGCTTTTGATGGTTAATTGTTGATGAGAATCTAATGTATTTTCCTGCTTCAAATCAGGATCCTCGGATCTCAGCCTCCTGAGTAGTTAGCAATATAGGCATATGAGCCACTAGTGCCTGGCTTCCTTTTTTTAAAAAAAATTTAAAAATATACATTCTCGTGGTTTAAAACTTTCAAATAATATAGAATATGTGAAGCCTTTCTTCAACAGAAGGGAATTTCTTAAGAATATATTTGGCGGGGGGGAGAGCTGGGAAGGTGCCTCAGTGGTAGAGCGCTAGCCTTGAGCTGAAGAGCTGAGGGACAGCGCTCAGGCCCAGAGTTCAGACCCCACAACCAACCAGAAAACAAAAATAAAAACAAAATATTTTTTTTCTAGAAATATTCTATTCTGGGGAGACCACACACACAGATATTTTTTTCTTTATTAATTTTCTTTTTTCTTCTTTTTTTTTGTCGGTCTTGGGGCTTGAACTCCGGGCCTGGGCGCTGTCCCTCAGCTCTTCAGCTCAAGGCTAGTGCTCTACCACTTGAGCTACAGTGCCACTTCCAGTTTTCTGGGGGTGTGTCAGAGATAAGAGATTCACAGACTTTCCTGCCCGGGCTGGCTTTGAACCTCAATCCTCAGATCTCAGCCTCCTGAGTAGCTAGGATTACAGGCGTGAGCCACCCGGCTTTTAATTTTCTTTTAATGAGCTTAGGCCCTGAGTACTATCCTGCTCTGCCTGAGTTCACAGAACCATCCTGATAGCCAAAGACCACATCAGGGTACATGAACTAAACCCAGAGGAACCATGAGGCCTCTCTGGATGGAATTGGAGGTGGGGGATTTTGGGCTTGACTTCAAAAAGATGCAGGAGCAGAATCAGGTCAGGGGTGGGTGGGTGCTGTCCAGAAACAGGGCAGGTGCTCTAAGAAGAGAGAGAATTAAAGCTGGACCCAAACTATCATTGGCAAAGGGGCAGACCTCACAGGACATGGTCAGTGCAGGTGGTGTCCAGTCATTTTGTTGTCTCAGGGACTTTGTCTCTGTCTTGTTCTGAACGTGGCTGCTGAGTGGCCTGGCTTAGACGCGGCTCTATGGCGTGCATGCTGTGTAGGTGGTTGAGTTCATCATGGCCAACCTGCTGCCTGGCTTCTGTGGCACATGGAGTTTGAATATTTGTAGGAGTTGACATTGTTTTCCAACAACGTGCACCCATTCCATCTTCTGTGTTTTTAGAAAAGCACCCAACTCCACTCACATGTAAGGTATTTAATGATTGGAACAGTAGTGGCAGCATATTTTAAGACCACTTGCAAAGTGACAACTACTGTGCCCCCAGCATCGTACCCACTAACAAGCCAGGGCTTGGCAAGGACCAGGGACTCGCCAGGAGCCCACAGTTAATGACCCGGGAGCTGGAGGCAGGACCAGGCTATCTGATCCCAGTGTCCACACTCTATTCACCACGGAGAAAACCTTTCCCCTTTCTCTGCCTTCCAGGAGCCTACCAAGGACAATTCAATCTAAGGGATTTAAGTATTTAATTAACGATCACACATCTTGGAAAGGCTGGTTTAAGTTGATAAGGAAATAGAGCTCCCCTTACAAAGGCAAGATTTATAGGCAGCATTCCTATAATTAATAAAGGCCTGTGAGCACTTTTCTTAAAACCACAACCCAGATGCTGTCATTAGCATTCTCTGAGTCACAGCTTGACCGCACCCCCCCCCCCCCCCAAAGGGTTCCTCAGCCCCAGGGATCTGACAGATGAAGGACATCGCTCCGATTGGCTGTGCCAGTTGGGGCAGCTAGCTGCCATGCAGCTTGGGAATTGGTTCTGGGAGATTTGCTTGGGGAAGAATGTGGTGCTGGGAAAGCAAATGGACTGGAGTGGTGCATCGGGACATGCTGATGGGCTGAGGGGCGGGGTGTACTGGGAGGAGGGTGGGGTACGCAGCACATTCCCCCACACACACACTGCCTCCCCCCCACCCCCAGCTCAGCTTTTGCAAAGGCCACACATGCTAACAGCTGGCTTTGGCTCTCTTGTAG